AATGCAAACACGTGCGATGACAGCTAGCGTCCAAACGACAGCCCCCGAATAGACGCAAACCCGTTGTAACAAGATCGTCACCGCCTATAAATACTGTGAGGCGTGGTACAAAACTCACCTCCGACGATGAAATCTTGTTTGACTTTGAAACTTCAGGGCAATATAACTATGGTTCCCGAGATCGCCTCTTCTTCTTATATATATATATATATATATATATATATATATATATTATGATAGTGGGCGCTCACCGATCAGGTTACGGAACATGCTCGTTCCGTTGTGCCTTGGGGCTCATACTTAAACCCTCGCAGGCAGTCGCACAGCGACTAGTGATATATGTTGAGAAGATGATACCGACAAAGACAAGGGAGACCGGAATGTCCATTTCTGGCTTATTAGCCGTCATCTGCCATTCATTCCCAACCCCAAGTGTGGATCACTTGAGATTCGAACCCGGGATCTTTGGTCATGGAGTTGAACGCTCTACCATTGAGCCACGGACTGGTGGACAGGGTTATGATTGGCTGAATGAAGGCAGAATAAGCCCGAAACTTTGCTGTATCAATCTACCCGCATTCTCTGTCATCCCTCCTCGCTGATATATATATATATATATATACTCTCCACCGAGTTTAATATGCCTATTACACCATATTAAATTCAAACAATGCGTAATTTGTTGATTAAAGTTAAAACGTGTTAATAGTTTAAGTACTTGTCACATAAAGCATTTGATATACTAAAAGAAAATTCTTGATGCATAAATATATCTGCATTGCAACCGCGTATGTTTAAACTGGTGTGGTCGACCAGACAGATATTCCCAATCAATGGTCAGGGAAGACGGAGTGATTTCGTCAAATTTTACTCTTTTGGAAGTGCGTACACAAAGGCTCTGTAGGCAGTCGCCGCGAGCGCGAGTGCCCTTCGAGCAAGTTGCTCTCTGTGTCCGCATTCGAGGTGCCGAGAACTACAGCGCGTCTGCGCCTTTCGCTGTCTCGGCGTCCGCCAGCCAATCAGGGGGAGGACAGAGTTGATTGGCCTGTAGCACTCGCGAAGCTAACGCTTCCTCTAAGCGTATCGACAAGGGGTTAGAAGCGGTCAGAAATGAAGCGTAGCTAAGGCTGTGGACAAGGAGACACGAACATCCACACTACACTCCGGCTAGACCGAAGGTGGCGATCAGCGACGCCGGACGAATTGCTGATGAAAAAGAAGCATGGTTGTCGGGGCAAGAGCTTTATTAGCCTGGAGTTTCGGATTCCTGCTCGAATCCATCATCAGGCGCAAGAGCAGATAAGGGTGGTTCAAGCGCATGCGGCTGCAATATTTATAGAATGCAGTAGCCATGCTACCGCATACCTACGAATATTCACAAATACCACCTTCATCAGAGATCTTTGCACATGACGTGATGGCCGACAGTATGTGGATGATACCCTCGTCGTTATCGACCGCGATCAACTGCGAACATTCAAGGAACATCTGAAGGCGGTGCTCACGGGCACACAATTTACGATGGAGGAGGAAGAGCACAACCAGCCGGCCTTCCTGGATGTCCTCGTATGCCACATGGATTGTGGTGGACTAAAGACAAAAGTGTTCATGAAAGAGTCAAATACGATGCAAGTACTGAACTTCAACAGCAAACACCCAATCAGCCACAAACGCAGTTGTGTATGGACGCTCTATTGGTGTGTCGAAACGCACTGCAGTGAGGCGGAAGACAAAATTGCCGAACTACAATACCTCCGACTTCTCCTAGGTGGAGTACATGGCCACGGGGGGAGCCCACAGATGAACACTCTTCCCAACACCGAACGGTCTAACTCGAGGGCGCGCCAGCCAGTGGAGAGGCGTTATGACGTTACTGACTGCGCGATAGAGAAAAACGCATGTGTGCTCTAGTGATGAATTGGCTCTTGTTTTTGGGAATGTAGGCAATCCCAACAAGAACTATGTAGTAACAAATCTGTCAATATTTCCAAAATAAATATGTTAACGTTCCTGATTTGCATGGTTGTGTTACAGAGATTAACGAAACGGATGTCCCAGTAAGTGAAACAGGCATACGTTTCAGATTGAAAAGCATAATATATTATATGCCATATTATAGCCATCATCTGCTAAATTTCTGTTTAGACTACAAATGCCAGCAAAGTCAGTTTTATTTACATTGTACAACCACACATCACTTTCACAACACATTCATGCAACAAACATCTGAGTATGCTAGCAGATGGAAAAGTACAGAAAACAGTTAGGATATTGCTAATGTCAAAGAACGCCGGTGACACATTTTTCATACTGACAAATACCAGCGAATATTTTCTTACGCAGTAGCAAATGACTATGAGCTTCCGTCTTAAAACTAGTCAGAGGTCAAGATGAGGGAATGTGTTCTTCGGCTGCCAATTGTCATGCAAATCCACAGGTGT